ATATAATACAAGTTTGGAAACCCAGTGTTTCCCAGGGTACTCATAGCTAATCCCGCCGTTTACCCGGGCATGCTCGTAAATTACGATTTTAGCTGTTTTTCCGTATACAAGCGGACCCACTCAAGTAAGAATCTCAAAACCAAATAAAGAACATTTTCGGTGGTTTCCCATTAAAAATTGAGGTAAATCAGTCAAGGGGTTCATGTATTAGGATCAGATTCTTTGTAATAGTCAACCTATACAACTAAGAAATTTGAAACGAAGCTATGCTGAGTTATGTTTGGAAGAAGATGGGTGTCATTTTGAAAATGTGTAGAATAAGAATTTCATAAAATATATATTATCTATCATTTAAACTAATTAATTATATTAACTGCTAGATTAGGAACCCAGCTTTGCTTGTAAATAAAATATGCTTTTTACGATCCAACCTATTCAACTAAGAACTTTTAAAGCTGAGAACATTCCACCGTTCCACCGAGTTCCTCAGTCAAGATTACCGGTTTCTGAGTTATGATCGGACATACAACAAACAAACAGAGATTACTACTTTGTAAAATACTTAAGGGGCACTGCAGGACAACTTTTTAAAATGCAATTGTATAATTTGAATAATAGGAGCTAGAAGCTGGCCCCTCTCCCTAGCTCTGTCCCAATTTTACCAAAGGGGTTTCCCCCGCCCCCTCCCCAATCATAATCTCCCTTTGTACCCAAAATCCATGGTTCTGTTATGGAAACAATTATTGTATATATATGTAGTAAATGCCTACTCTATAAAAATTTCTTGTAAGTATCTATCCAAATACAACTCAGATTCTCTTGACTATCAATGTCAACACACGGCTACAATCTCCTGAACTATCAACGCCACTACCACAGGGCGCGATCTCGTTTGTTATGTCAACCCGACAATAGCAATCTATAGATCAAGCCAAAATTCAAAGGCAACAATCTTAGCTATGTCAACCGGACAATAGCAATTAATTTGTATGTTTCAAGGTAAACCAAATTACTCTCAATACTGTTATCAAAGCGAAGTTTCTGTATCAACTAAATATATTTCTTCAGTTTAGATTAGGAGTGGGTCCTTAACAGCATTATTACAAGTTATGCGCTGTTATATACAACGTAGTTATGCAATCACAATATAGGTATGACAGAGTTATATATATTTACATCCATTGAATTAGTTCATCGCTATATATATATATATACATATACATATATATATATATATATGTGTACATATATATATAGAATCTCTGATATACAAAGCAATTGTCAAGGCTGGTGATCAGAAAGCTGAATACATAGGATTAGCATCAACAGATTTTAAAACAAGATACAACAACCACAACTCGTCATTCAAGAACAGTAAACAGGAAAACAGTACAGGACTCTCTAAACATGTTTGGGATTTAAAGAGAGAGATAAACCCTTTGAAATATCATGATCCATCGCATCTTTGGCAACCCCTTACAAAAAAGAAACCAACAAGTGTCAACTCTGCTTAACTGAGAAAACGCTTATCATCCTGGCAGATAGAACATAATCATTGAATAAAAGACATGAAATTATGTCAAAATGTCGACATAAAAACAAGATGCTTCTAGTAANCCAACCATGCCAAACATATTTTGACGATTTTATTTCGACATTTTTTCAAACAAGGAAGGTAAGCTTGAGAAAGTAGGTTGAAATATTAACAAGTTGATAAAAATTAAAAATTTTATAGATTATGTATTTTTTGATAAAAATAAATTGTTGTTGGCCCTTTGTTAAACTTTTTAGTTGTCGAACGTGAAAATTACATCAACATTGTATTGGCTGAAATTCTGATTCAACTTGCGTGACACTATTTTCCTTGTAAGTTAGTTGTTTTATTTAAATTAAAAGTTAAACTTCAAAATTTCATAGATGTAATTATTGAAATTGAAGTTTTGCTAATTACGTGTAATTAATACAAAATTTCGCGAAATTACCTCGTAGAAATTACTCATAATCAGGCCGTAATTAGGTGTTATTATAGTTTCGCTTATTACGCGTAATCATTACGAAATTTTGTGAAATTACGTTGTAGAAATTATGTGAAATTAGGCCGTAATTAGGCGTAATTATAGTTTCGCTTATTACTCGTAATCATTACAAAATTTCGCGAAATTAGGTTGTAGAAATTACCCAAAGTTACGCCGTAATTTCACAAAATGGATATTTCCCCAATTACCCGTAATCCTGCAGAATTACATGAAATGAAAATTATTACGCGAAACTGCACGTATTTACATGTAAGAGAATAATCTATTACATTGGAAACCCTATTTAAAATCTATATATCAACATTTTTTTCAACATTTTTTTTTATTTCAAACTGCCCTCACTACCACCGACAAGTTGAAACTTTTTATCAACATTTATTCAAGAATTTTATTTAAATTAAAAACTACCCTCACTACCACTGACTTTTGTTGTAAACCCCGAGTTTTATTCGGTCGACAGCAGAATTTAAAACGCAATAATTAACCCTCTAAGTTCATATTTATTAATCTAAGTTTACTGATTCAATATTATATATTTCAGTAGATTAATATTCTGGTCTGAACTCGACTTCCATGGCAAGGAGTTGTAACAGCTCCAGCCGCTGCTCCATGATGAGGGACATATTGGTGACAAACGCCAATTCCTGCTTGAGCTGATGCTCCTCCTCGCTGTAGAGCATTCCGCCATGGTTCTCAAATGCTTCCATTATTACCAGGCGTAATTCTTGCCAGATCACCTCAATCCGGCCCCATAGCTTCCACCTGTTCTCCTTCACCAAGTTCACCTGTCCCCTGTCCGGCTGCAGGCCCAGTTTCCTCCACATACTTGTGAACTCATCCTCTTCTTCACTGGCATCCTCCAGGCTAGGAACCTCTTCATTAACAGCTCTGTCATCCCCCTGCTGGGACTTCCTCTTCTCTGCCTCTATTTCATCCAGTTCATCCCTCCCATCATCCGCCTCTCCTTCTCCTTCATCTCCGGAGCTCTCAGATATCTCTGCAGCAGAGAGGGCAGGAATACTTACTTCCTAATCCTCAGGTTCGTCGTCTGAGGATGGGACAGTGATTATCTCTACTGATGCAGTTATTACCTCAGTGGAACTGTCAGAGATAAACAGTGCCTCTAACTCTAATTCACAGTCACTGTCTCCTTCCGTTACATCGTCCGGAAGGGGTCCAGCAACATTTGGGCAATGATCAATGTACTTAAAGAATTCAGACATCTTTACTTGTAATAAAGCTTTAGCAGATTTTATGGTATCTTTGCTATTTAGCTATTAGTATAATTAGGGACTATCTAAGATTGGTTATATATATATAAATTGCAATATATCAGAAAGATTTCTTAATAAATATTTTGTTCAGGGGAAAAAGTATCATGCTGTTTTCCTGATAGAGAATAATTTATGAAAAGCTTAGGCTAGAATTTGTTTTTTTAACAAAGATTTCTACAAAACATGGGATGAAGAAGATTTAAAGATTATAAGAGTTCGACTTTAATATTCTTAGATCAATGAATGGCAAAAGTTTTTATCTTGTAGCAAATGCCTTAATCCTACAAGTTCTCTTAAAGGGAGTGTTCGCGAAAAATGAACGGGGGTATAGGCTTAATGTTAATTTGCTTGGAATTAAATTGATTTGTTTACGTTCCGAGTTGAATAATGCATCTTTTTGAATTTGTATGGACACAACGTTCTTCGGTGTGAGTAGTTTTAAACAATTTTCTCCTCATAGACGCAACAGATAGAAGTAAGATTAGTAGCGATCAAAAGGGCTTTTTTATCGCATTAACCCTATACCCCTTTCATTTTTTGCGAACACTCCCTTTAAGTCTGTACCAATAATACTTTAGTATATATCAAACCCAGATATGACACTATCTGTATTCTTCAGTATGTATCTTATAGATACAACTCACTCTTGAACCCCCTTGTCTGATCAATAATACTTCAGTATGTATCAAACCAGATATGATGCTATCTGTATTTATGGTACAGATACAACTCGCTCTCAAACCTCGCCTTGTCCGATCAATAATACTTCAGTCTGTATCAATCTAGATATAACACTATCTATATTCTTTTAATCAGTATCTGTCTTTCAAAATAAAACTCGAGCTGACCCTCTGCTTCTCTACATGACAATTAATACATGTTTAAGCTCAATGAAACAACAATTCATGTTCAACTAACTTTTTTCTGGGTATTAAATTAATGAATGTAATTAAACCCAATTGTAGTAGATGAATGATAATGACCGATAGGTTTTCTCAGAAGTTAATGAACGTAATTAGGGTACAGATAATGTTAACTCGCAGTGCATAGGTATATCAGGTTTACACATATAGGGTTAACTACTACTATGTATTACATGCATTATTCAAAATATTAAATCAAATAACTCAAATTATTTTTCTAATTCTTAGTACCACTGTCAAAAAGATGTACACGAAATGGATGATTTTATATTGTTATATGTAGTTTAAAAAATAAAATTTAAAAAAACATGAAAGTCCTTTCAAGCAAATAATGTTGTAAAAGCTTTCAAATAAACTACTATATTGGAAAACTGCTACTTCCCTTCCTGCTAGCAGGGAGGGGAGTAGCAGGGAGCTGAGTAGCAGGGAGGGGAGTAATAGCAGGAAGGGAAGTAATAGCAGGGAGGGGAGTAGCAGGGAAGGGAGTAGCAGGTATGGGAGTAGCAGGAAGGGAAGTAGCAGGGAGGGGAGTAGCAGGAAAAAACTTAAGCAAGTCTTAAAGAAAAAAAAGAGGCAATTTAAAGATTTTTAAAGTTGAATTTCTTGCTAAATATTTTTTTTTTTATCAAGATTTTACAAAAAAATCTTATACTTTTATAAGAAAAGTATCTGCTAACTACCATAAATACCTATGTTAATAAAAAATTCACCTATTTTTCAGCAAAAAAAGGCATTTTATACGTTCACCCCTGCTACTCCCATCCCTGCTACTCCCCCATTTGTGCTCCCCTCCCCCTTTTCTGAAACAAACCTCTCATAATTTTCAAGTTACCATGTGCATGCTCCATTAAAAAATGTTTTTGGTCAATTAGTGTCTTAAATAAGATTATAAAATCATTCTTCAATTGTAATAAATAGTGTCTAAAATGCAATGCAAAAAATTTTGTTGAATAAAAACTATTTTTAAATAATTAGTCTGGATTTAGTTCATTAGTATTTATCATTTATCCATTGAAAAAAAGAAGTTCAAATCTTTTTCAGGGAGGTTTGAACTGCCGATGATAATTAGTTAGTTTAATACTAAAGTTAGTGTCACTCCCTCATATATACAAATAAAATTTTCCCCTTCGTGTTGAATAGTTTGATGGTTGATGGTTGATGGTTGATCGATCTCCTCTGGTTCAGTCTCGTCTGTTCTATTAGCTCCCTAGAAATAAATTACAATATACTTAACAATCTATATATAAATTTGGCTTGTCTGGGTGTCTGCTTGTTTGTTTGTATCCAATAAACGTCAAAATGGCTGAACCGATTGGGCCCAAATTTTTTGTGGGATATCACATGACCACAGGGAAGGTTTATGAATGATAAAAATTTAAAAAAAAGTGTTTTAAATGTTTTTAATTTTGTAAAAAAAATTTTAATTCTTGAAAATCCGCGAATTTTTTTTTTAAATCCGCAAAAAATTTTTCTTCTTTGTTTTAAAATGTAAACAAAAAGAACATGTTCACAATTTAAATAGAAGATGGGTGCGAGGCGCCCCAAAAGCCTAGAAAGAAGGGCGCGAAGGGCCTTGAATTTCTAGTCTAATATAAATTTGGTTTGTCTGTCTGTTTGTTTGTCTATCTGTTTGTATCCAATAAACGTCAAAACGGCTGAACCAATCGGGCCCAAATTTTTTGTGGGACATCATGTGACCACAGGGAAGGTTTATGAATGATAAAAATTAAAAAAATGTGTTTTAAAGGTTTTTAATTTTATAAACAAATTTAAATTCTTGAAAATCCGCGATTTTTTTTTTAAAAATCCGCAAAATTTTTTTCTTCTTTGTTTTAAAATGTAAACAAAGAGAACATGTTCACAATTTAAATAGAAGATGGGCGCAAAGCACCCTAAAAGCCTAGTTTTATAAAAGTGAGATAACTCTTAATTACAACTAGTTTGGTTTACACTGCTAGCTTTTAGGCAGAAATTTTCTCTGAAAACTGAATTCTGAAAACTTTATATCATAACTTATGCCAAAATAATTTTTATAATTATTTATCACACTGTCGTAGGTAATTTTTTAAAGCTTCTGTACTTTATTAATGGTTAGTTCTATGATAAGCTTTTTAAGAATGCAGAACTGAATTACAATAGTTTATTTAAATTCTGTTTTAATCTAAACAGATCTTTTGATAGAAATATCCCAAATATTTTTCAGTTAAAAAAAGTGTTCTATTAAGCAAAATAACAATAGCACGAGATTTAATTTTTTGTGGCACCTCGCGTGACCCCAAGGAAGGTTTAGGAATGATCAAAATTTCAAAAATTTCTCCGTCCTTACTCCTTACCAGCTCTCTCATCCATCCCTGTTCTATTTCTCCGTCCAACTCTTGTATCCCTACTAGCTCTCTCACCCATCCCTGTTCTATTTCTCCGTCTTAACTCCTGTATCCCTACTAGCTCTCTCACCCATCCCTGTTCTATTTCTCTGTCCTAACTCCTGTATCCATGCCAGCTCTCTCCTCAATCCCTGTTTTATTTCTCTGTCCTAACTCCTGTATCCCTACTAGCTCTCTCATCCATCCCTGTTCTATTTCTCCGTCCAACTCCTGTATCCCTACTAGCTCTCTCCACAATCCCTGTATTATTTCTCCGTCCTAACTCCTGTATCCATACCAGCTCTCTCATCCATCCCTGTTCTATTTCTCCGTCCTAACTCCTGTATCCCTACTAGCTCTCTCATCAATCCCTGTTCTATTTCTCCGTCCAACTCCTGTATCCCTACTAGCTCTCTCATCCATCCCTGTTCTATTTCTCCGTCCAACTCCTGTATCCCTACTGGCTCTCTCACCCATCCCTGTTCTATTTCTCCGTGTACTTTTGTATCCCTACCAGCTCTCTCATCCATCCCTGTTCTATTTCTCCGTCCTAACTCATGTATCCCTACTAGCTCTCTCCACAATCCCTGTTCTATTTCTCCGTCGTACTTTTGTATCCCTACCAGCTCTCTCATCCATCCCTGTTCTATTTCTCCGTCCTAACTCCTGTATCCCTACTAGCTCTCTCCACAATCCCTGTTCTATTTCTCTGTCTTAACTCTTTTTTTCATCCCTTTTCTTAATCATTTTTATACAGTATAACCCAGTACCTTAAGAGACATCGAAAGAACTTTTCAAATTTCGTCTTGAAAATTTTGCAATGATTTTATACTGTTTTACCTAAATCTCAGTAATTTGAAAAATAAAAAAATAGCTATGAAATATGCGGAAACAGTTTTAGAGAGATTAAAATAATTATTCAACTAAAAATTTAAATATCTGCAGCATTCCATTATCAGCAGGTTTAGAATACAACATTTTATAAATTCTTTCGATGTATCCAATGGTTTGGGTTAAACTGTATGTCATCCCCAAACTTTTCGATGTTTTTTTTACACTGTACAAAGAGAAGAGCTCACCTAGGTAAAACCACAATATTGTAAAATATTTTCAACAGAAGTGGGGGGGGGGTTGTATTTTTCGAAAAAATAGACACCCCTGGAGAAAGGGGGGACTTGGAAGGAGGCCATGGGCAGGGGCATGGAAGGGGGGGCATGGGAGACGGCTGTTAATTTATACCTCAATAGAATCTGAAGGAACTTCTGACTGAACTAAAGATCTCCGAGCACGCTAGAATAATAAAAATCTATATAATAAAGCTCTTCGCTCATATATATTTGTATATATGTGAGCTTTCAAATCAAATCAAATCAAATCGATTATAGCTATATTGTCAGATGGTCAGTTTGATTTTTTTTTTTGGGGGGGGGGGTTATATTCTCAGGATATCTTTCTCCTCCTGGGCGTCTTAAAGCTTTGAAAGCAGATGGACTGAATGGAATGAATTTTTCCGAGGTAACCCTTAAGTACCCCGGAGGTAATGTAAGCTAAAAGAATCATATTTTTTCTTGAAAAATATTTTTTTTACAAATTCGATTTAAAAAAAATCCATTGGCAACGCCGGGCACTTCAGCTAGTATCATATAAAGAACTACATTTTATAGTGTATAAAGATACAAAGATCAGAACTAGCAAACAGCAAAAAGTAGCTTAACTTGACTAGACTAGTGAAACTTCTTCTCAGGTGATTTCAACTTGCTCCCTTACTACTATGCTCTAAGCTATGCACACATAATATAAATTATGAAAAAATAAAAAAAACCCTCAATATTTCTAAAATTAATATTTGATCACATCAACATAATATTTAGTGGGACAGTGAAAGAGACAGTGCTTAAAGGGATTGTAGACGTAATTACAAGTGACCCAACTTTTGAAAGAGTGGCATGTCTGGTTCACACCAATGTACCCTTTAAAACTTTATCTGAACAACAATCAGAAGATATCTTCAAGGTTTTGAATTGTGAAAATTTTCTTCTTTTTCTCCTGTTGCAAAAAAATCGAAAATTATTGAAGTCACTTTTTTAGAAACCCGCAATAGAAAATTATAGATTTTGAAAGGAAATGATTATAATTCCATTTCATTTGTGTACGATGGTGTCGTTTAAAAAAAGGAACAATGGAGAACAACTTGGTTAATTTAGAGAAATAAGAAAATGATCATTTTTTAAAACAAACGAACAAAATTTATGGTTAATTTAGAGATATAAGAAAATGATCATTTTTTAAAACAAATGAACAAAATTTATAATTATTCAATCGGGTTTTTTGACTGAACAAACGAATTTTCCAACAGATTTAGAAAAAAACAATAGTTTTTAAATGAATGAATGGTTTTCTAGAACAAACTTTTCTGATAGAGCGTTAATTTTGTAATAACTGAAGTAGGGCTGGGCGCGTTCCTGGTGGAACAATCGTTCTTTCCCAAGAACGAACGGAACGATCAAGAACGATCCCATTGTTCCGAAAAAAAAACGCTTAGAACGAGTTCTTAAAAATTTTGGAATGATTAGTAAAAGAACGGGAATTGTTTGAAAAGAACGGTTAAAATTGTTAACGCGTTCTTATTTTCAAGAACGCGTTTTAATGTAATATTGAAAGTGTGAATGACTTATGGTAAGACAACCCTCCCCTGGCCTCACACCTTCATCTCTTTGTTCTTTTAATGAATGCAGAAGAATTAACCTGAACGGATTCATTAGGATTCAACAGTGCACCCCAGATCCTTGAATAGAACAGACCTATGAGCCAAGCTCCGTTTGTTCAAACAAGGCTGGGGGACGGGCACTTCATGGACAGCTCTCAGAAGGCTTACAACGTGTGGACTAATATGATTGTATCTACAGGATCATATCTTCAGGAATACAGAATACAGAAGAATACACCAATAAACCATTAATGAGTCTGATACTCAGGTTTATGACAGATCAGATGGATAACATGGAAGGGACAGATACAATGGATGAAATGAATAGGTTAGAAGCAGAGCAGTGTGGTTCTACCTCAGTACAACTAGTTCAACTACCCACACACTCTAATATTCCAGATGTTTCTATGGTTAGAAAAACTGGAGCTGTAGAACAGATGATAGAAACAGAGCAGTGTGGTTCTACCTCAGTACAACTAGTTCAACTACCCACACACTCTAATACTCCAGATGTTTCTATGGTTAGAAACACTGGAGCTGTAGAACAGACAAAAGAATCAGAGAGATGTAGTTCCACCTCTATACAGCTGGTTTAACTACCTACACAATCTAATATTCCAGGTGTTTCTATGATTAGAAACACTGGAGACTCAGAAGATCACTAAAGCTATAGAACAGACAAGGGAATCAGAGAGATGTAGTTCCACCTCTATACAGCTGGTTCAACTACCTATACTATCTAATATTCCAGGTGTTTCTATGATTAGAAACACTGGAGACTCAGAAGATCACTAAAGCTATAAAACAGACAAGAGAATCAGAGAGATGTAGTCCCACCTCTATACAGCTGGTTCAACTACCTACACACTCTAATATCCCAGGTGTTCCTATGGTTAGAAACACTGGAGACTCTGAGGATTGCTGGAACTATACAATGGATAATAGAATCAGAGCAATGTAGTTCCACCTCTATACAGCTGGTTCAACTCCCTAAACTCTCTAATATTTCAGGTGTTTCTATGGTTAGAAACACTGTGGACTCAGAAGATAATACAGGCCAATGAATCCAGGTGAAAGGAGATCATGAGGATCTATCAAGTAGATGGAAGATCAACAGAGATGCGGAGCATCCTACAGATCATGTGGATACTGCAGTTATTGCAGATATGAAGGATACTGCAGATATTGTAGATACTGCAGATATTGTGGACACTGCAGATATGGAGGATACTGCAGATATGGAGAATACTGCAGATACTGTGGATACTGCAGATATTAGGAATGCTGCAGATACTGTGGATACTGCGGATATTGAGGATACTGCAAGATATTGTGGACACTGCAGAGATGGAGGATACTGCAGATACTGTGGAAGTTGCAGATACTGTGGAAACTAGAGATCCAGAGCAGATTGATAGAGAGCTAGGATGGATCATAAAGATCACCAGCTATATGAACCATGTGAGAACTGCAAGTATGAGATCATAGATCTACAGCAGATTGACAGAGAACTAGGATGATCATAAATCACCAGTTACAAGTATACAAGGAGAAGATCATAGGTCTGTAGCAGATTGATAGATAGCTAGGATTGATCAGGAGATCACCAGTTATATTATCTATAGAAGGATTAGCTGAGACCACATCTAGCCCAGCAGAGAACAGAGGCTCAGATGAACTACTGAAGGACTCTTCCTACATAAGGGTCAGTGGGGACTTGCCTAACCACTGAGGCACTCTTCATATATAAGAGTCAGTGAAGACTTGATAACCCGGTTTTAGTAATGGTTCAATACTAATAACGGAACGGGGGGATGGAAACGTTCTTTGACTAAGAACGGAACGAGAGGGATGGAACCGTTCTTTAAATAAGAATGCCAAGAACGGAACGGAACGGGAAGACCGTTCTTCTACTCAGAACAGAACGTAACGGAACGATACAAAAAAAGAGGAACGAGAACGGAAAGATTTAGCTGAAGGCTCTCGTTCTAGAACGGAACGGAACGATTTCAAAAAAGGCGAAACGTGCCCAGCCCTAAGCTGAAGGGCCCAACGTTGCCAGTAAAAAAAAAAATTGGAAAAATATTGGAAAAGAATTTAAATACCTGCAACGTGTAATTACTCTATTCATCAATTTTTCAAGTTACAGGAATTAACTAATTAGGGCTGAGTGCTTTCCTGGTTCCTGGTTTCGATGGTTCTTTCCTGAGAACGAACGGAACGATCAAGAACGATCCCATCGTTCCGAAAAAAACGAATGCTTAGAACTTGTTCTTAAAAATTTTGGAACGATAAGTAAAAGAACGGAACGGAACGGAGCGGGAATTGCTTGAAAAGAACAGTTAAAATTGTTAACACGTTCTTATTTTCAAGAACGCCTTCTAAGTTGGGAACGCATTTTAAATCAGGATGAGGAATGTGTTTCCAGTTCAGATTTTCTCTGTATGTAGTGACCGAAATTGAAAGATAGAATTATTGCAAATGACATTAGACACAATTTTTATATAGGAAAGTAAGGAGGGGGGGGGTAAAAGGGAAAAAATACGGTTATAAAAGGGTAAGAATATAATTATGCGTAAGTATTGCGTAAGTATGTGTTGCTAGGTAAAAGTACAAGCGTAAGTAAGGTGATACATTGGTTTTGCCGGCAGGGGGGGGGGGAAAGGAATGGCGAGGATTTAATGCATTACATTCTTGAGGAATGGGAGCTGAAAAGGGAAAAAGGAGAATGGGGGGGGGAGAGAATTTAGGTTGAAAGAAAGTGTTTTCTATAATTTATTTCTATTTCTTTTTGATATTATTGAAATATTGATTATGAAAATTAAATATTTTTCAAAAATCTACAAATTTTACACCCCCTTTTTTAAGGTAACCCGGTTTTAGTAATCTTTCTATACTAAGAACGGAACGGGGGGATGGAAATGTTCTTTGATTAAGAACGGAACAAGAGGGATGGAACCGTTCTTTAAATAAGAAAGCCAAGAACAGAACGGAACGGGATGGAATGGAACGTAACGGAAGGATACAAAAAAAAGGAACGAGAATGGAACGATTTAGCTGAAGGCCCTTGTTCTAAACGGAACGGAACGATTTCAAAAAAGTCGGATCGTCCCCAGCCCTATACTGATTTCTCCGATTTCTACTTTTTCACCGTGTATCCGTATGATCTAAACATTTATTAAAACCAAGTTAAAAAAACTTCAGTCAAGTTATTGGATTAGCATTGTCTTATTAATTTTATTGCTAAAATCCATTGGATCCACAACATTTTGGCTTCCTGGATCCAGAGCCGCAAAAATATGTGGATCCAAGGGCAGAATATCAACCAAAACTGCAAAAATTATTAAACTTGTTCTTATCTCTGAATGGTTTATCAAGTTGTAGCATAAAAATAAGTGGAAAAAGTATAAAATTCTTCTTTTGTTAAAAAAATCAGTAAATCTAGAAATTAATGTTCATGACCTGGATCCTATGGATCCGCCACATTTTGGCTTCCTGGATTCGGATCCATTTTTTTCCAGTAGGGATCCAGAATCTGGATCCGGATCCGCTTCAAAATTAAATGGATCCTAAGAACTGCTAAAATTTTGAAGAAAATGCTTGACTGCAGATAATTAAACTTTGGTGCAACAAGGTCCAATAATGCTATCACAATTTACACCCCTGAAATCATTATACCGAGCTCTTGATTTAAAATTCTAATTAAATTTTAAAAAAATAAAATACCGCAATTTACAAATATTAAACAAATGGAATGCCGTTTTATATTCTATTTTTGTTTCTTTTCTATCTCAATTTTGAACCGAGTTGTTGCATTTTTCCCCGACGAATTCAACTAATTATCTTAAGAAACTCGGGAAAAATTCGACTTTTTTAAATATTTATGTTCTATGACACACAAAATGATCTGGCTTTAAAAGTTTGCACAAAATAAAGGGTGTCCCACGAAACATGACAATTAATGTATGATTGTGAATGTCTTCTTCCATATAATTGTTAAGTTGTGTGATACCATAAAACATATTATAAAACATTACGAGGCATTTATACTAGAGGAAAGTTGATTTCAAAACAATTAAAATATATTTTGGATTGACAGATATTTTAATTTAAAAAGGCTCCATCAACAAATATGAAATCGAAATACACTGGGTATTTACAGTACATTTATAACGTACAACAATACTCAAAATTTGAAAGCATGGTTTCTTCACTTGCAGCATGGCAGCTTGACAAACAAGATTTCTTATCAGAGAAAAAGTTTTTAATGTGAATCTGTTTAAAACTTTAACTAATTTTCCGAATAGAGTTGAAAGAGTGAGGAGAAATTTTGCCAGGGAATTCCCTGGTCAAAAAGTTCCCAGTGAAAGATCAATATTCCGGCTTGTGGATAAATTTGAAACTAAATATACAGTTGAAAACCTTCACAAGGGTAACAGTGGACCAAGGAGGACAGCAAGGACGGATGCGGTGGTGAGGCAGGTGGAGAATGTGGTGACCAGGGACTGTAGGGTTGAGTATGATAGACCACCAAACACCAGTAGGAGAAACGAACTCAACCTCTCCAAGTCGACCTGGAACAGAATTTTAAGAAATGACCTGAATTTTACTTGTTACAGGTAAAACTTGTATGTCAAAATAAAATACTATTTATTAATTAGCTTTGTTAACCCTAAAAAGACTGGGTCTGAATCTATGTAAAACCTGAAGGGGGGAGGGGGTGGGGTAGTGTCCAGAAAATGTTGGAAAACATAAAAAAAAAATAGTATTATAGCTATCTACATTTTTCTAGAGCTTGATCAGAAATAGTTTTATTCTAGTGTTTTCAAACAAGTTCTTAAGAACAAGTGTCATAATAAACAAAGTAGTTAAAGGGTATCCTTAAAAACTTTGTCTGATCAAATATGAATTAGATATCAATGTTTATAATATCAGCTGTTTGGGTTGAAGTTTGTGGAAGGAATCCTCAATTCTGTAGGGTACCAAGACCATATTAAGAATGTCTGTATCCCACAGCTGAAAGGGTTGAATAATGGCACTCTTGATGGCATCACCTTCCAACAAGATGGAGCCAATATTCATCGGCAGCCAGCATTCCTTGATTGGCTTGACCAGACCTTTCAGGGTCGAGTTTTAGCCCTAGGGGCTGAGCAGCTTGGCCGGTCAGGTCATTCCTGGGCACCGCGTTCGCCTGATTTGTCGGTTCCTGATTTTGCAATCTGGCCTCTGATGAAAAGGCAGGTTTACCAGCATCCTCGACCCACCAACATCAACGAGCTGAAAGCCAAGATTACAAGAGTCGTTTATGATCTCAATTCCCAGCCTGAACTTATCCAGAAGTGTCACATTGGTGTGAAAAGCCATGCTCGTCTCTGCTTCCATAATCATGGCGGACATTTTGAATTCATGAAATAAATATTTCTCTAAATCGTCTCAATTATTTTCTAAAAAAAACATTAATTTTTTCGATAGTTGAAATACAACTCTACATTATATAACCTAATTAGATACATTGCAAGTATACATATTTTGCAATAGTTACAGAAACAATTACTTAGTAAACAAGAGATATTTTTCTTAAAGATTAACCATAGCAAAATTGTATTCCATTTGGAACTTATTCTCATGTAATGTAATGGCCTATTGATTAACATGGCAACGTATAAAACTATTTTTTAGTTGTAGAGAATCCTAAATTTAAGGAAATAGAAAATATAAATTCTGTACAGTCGTCTCTTAAGTAGCATTTTTTGTGGGTTACCCTGTATATAATGTGAAAAAAGTCGCTAAGTTTAACAAGGGAAAATAAAGTTTATCAATTTGGCTATTATTGGTACTAGGTTGAATATTCGAATTCTCATCAATTTATCGAATTGGAAAATATTGAAAATTGACCCGAGTTAAGCCAAAAACACATTTCTTGACTACTTGAAAGTCATGAAAAGAAAAAAAAACGATTATTGACCATAATTTGCTCGATTTTCAATATTTTTAAATTTTATATATTGACCTGAACTCCAATATTTGGTTGGTACCCATGTTATATTTGCGTTTGTTAAATAATATAAAAAAATTGTAGACAAGTTGAAATTACTCGGTACTTTCAGGGTGTTTTAAAAATTTAAAAAATTATTACACAAGTTTTTTAAAAACTGACGACAAAATATCAAGAGTCCCTTTATCTAAAATAAAATTTTTTTGGGTAATTTCTGCCTTTAATATTGCTACCATACTGCCATACTGTTGTAGAATCAGACATGTATCCTCTACTTAATGGAGGGTCACTTGAAATTGGGTCGACAGTTTCTTAAATCTGTCAGGATCAACAGACCCGGAAAAAATGACATCTACTCACGTTTCATACTAATCAAAATAATGCTACAAAATGTTAATTCTGTTTTTATTCTTTATTGTAAATTTTGTTCGGAATGAAAATGAGGTTTGGGAGAATTAATTTGGCTGTGGAAGAAGATCGGAGAACTCTGCTGGGAAGGGGTAGCGCGTCTGACCCTCCTCTACCAACCCCTGTCTCCTCAGATTTGTAATTTGACGTTTTATCTTAAAGAGCCAGGGGCAGTCTACATATTTGTTCCAGTCTACAGCGACCTCACACTCTCAATAATTGTAAGGGTTAGGATGAGCTGGGGATTAACCTATTTAGAATGAAAAAGAATTTATTTCAAATTATTTTTAAGTTTTCAAAATCAAGGAGACCAAATTTTAAAAAGTTTTTCCACTTTAGAAAACAGTGGTCTATATTTTCCATTATCACCCTCCCACCTTCGTACAAAAACAAAAACGTTTATTATCCCAAAAAAAATTGATTTAAAAAAATAAAAATTTCACTACGCAAATCTATTACAGAAAACTTTGGAATGGGATGACGATTTGTAGACTCAAGGTTTAAATAATACCTATATGCACACCCAGGTTTTTTCCCGCATTGTGCTTCTTGGCGCCAGCAGGAATTTGAATGCTTGGTTTTTTTCTCCCAAACTCCATCATCATTCTCAACACCTGCTCCCTCTCTTTAGCAATGTGCCCAACCTGAAAAAATTATATTTCAAATTTTAAATAACTTAAAACTAGAGCTGGGCATTGTATTAATCAAAGTGCTTTTCTTGAGAATAATAACAAACAATGAACAATTGAATTATACGGCATGGTAAGCGAAAATATCAATATGATGAAGACGGCTTTTGTATTTAAGTTTTAATTGTTTACAAGCTTTTTTTGAATTACAAGTTTACAAGTAATTAAAGAGAAGCTTTTTAATTTGACAGCTTCTCTTTGCTTCCATGTTTTTGTTTATTCATGCTGTTTAAAAGCATGATATAAATCAAAATTCAATTCGAAAGTCGTCTTCATTATATTGATATTATCGCCTACCATTGTACAGGGTGTCCCACGAAACATGACAATAGCAAGACGACTTGAAAGTCGTCTTTGATATATGAATTTATTTGTGACATTTAGTCTTCTATCTACTTTAACATGTATGATTCTTGAAACAATTATCACATAATTCTCCTAGCCCTGGCATTTCCAAAAAGTGGTCTGCGTTTTTTGTGCTTTGAATATTACCGGAGATATAAAGAGTTTGGTTCAGATTTCAATTTTGTTAAATAAAAGCAAAATTGTCGAAATCTGAACGAAATTCTTCATATCTCGGGCAATATTGAAAGCACAAAAAAGGCAGACCACATTTTGGAAATGGCAGGACTAGGGGAATTTTGTGATTATTATCTCTAGAAATTTACTTCTAAAATTAGGTTGACAAATAAACATAGCAAATTATATCAAAAATCAAGACGACATTCGAGTCCTCTTGCATACTGTCATGTTTCGTGGGACACCCTGTACCTAAATAACAGTTAAAATATCAACAAAATTTATAAAAAAAACTCTAAGATTTATCAATCTTTATGCATATAGATTAGAAGCTTTAACATAATTTCAAGTGACCCTCAGCCTATATTATAGGGTGGCATGTCTAATTCTCAACGGTATCCTTAAAAGTGTCTTGATTTAATTAGATATCTGTTTTTGTTACTTTGGCATTTCTTATTAAAGTAAAAATGGAAAACTATCCGAATTAAACACTAATCAAGTGAGAAAAAAATTCACTATCATTTCTCTTTAAATGGAGGGTCACTTAAAATAACAATAACAGTCCCTTTTAGGAATTTAAAAAATTGTGTACAAAAATAGTTTACTAGGACAGACCCGAAAGGGGGGTGCGGGGGGATCTCACGACGTGACGGCACGGACAAGACGGACAAACACTTTTAAATGTCACAACATGTGTGAATGAGGTGAAAGCGTAAGTAAGACGGTCTGCAACCTGGTCCCGGTGTTCTGTCAACTGTGTTAAGTTCTAAGAAGTTCTACGCAGTATTTAATTATAAAAAAGAAATATTCTCAAGGTGTTTGAAATTAAGTTCTATATTCTACTATGTATTAACAATACAATGACCAGACAAATTGAGAATGCCCCGTAATTTTTTTATTATTCTCTCTGGGTATCGCTCAACTTAACAAATTAATAAAGAAGACATTCACAATCATACATCAACTGTCATGTTTCGTGGGACACCCTGTAGAATGCCCTTTTTAGATTCATTTTGGTTTCTTTTATATCGTAATTTTGAACCAAGATGTTGCGTTTTTTTCCCCGACGATATTCAGCTGATTATTCTTTAGAACTCTAGAATATTACACCTTTATGGCCTATGACACACAAAATTATGGCTTTACAAGTTTGTTAAAAAATAGAATGCCGTTTTTAAATCCATTTTGTGTCTTTTCTTTCTTAATTTTGAACTGATTTGTTGCAGTTTTTGCCCGACAATATTCAGCTAAATATTCTAACTCGGGAATAAAATGTTCTTTTTTAGAATCGATATAACCAATTTTGATAAACATTAAACGAAGTGAAGGGGGCACTATTTTATACCTATAAGATTGCTAAGGAACTCTTCCACATCAAAAAAATACGAAGAATGTGATGCATAGCTTAGACCATAGTTTAGTGTTGCAATGTTGCAGTCCACATGAGGAGTCATTTTTAATCTGAAATTAAATAGTTTGAATTGACATGAAAGCAATTAGTGATGGGAAATATTCAAAGGATAAACAAAAATCTAAAAATCTTATGCCAAATTTTGACCCTCACAGAAAATTTACTCAAAACAAACAAAAAACGAATCATTTAAAAAACATTTTTAGTTTGTTTCTCCCTTATATTTTCTCTTAGGATAAATTGCAAATATTTCAATAAAAACAAACTCAAAAAAGTTGTTTACATCGAGTTTGAGAATGTTTTGCGGCATTTTCCACAAAAGAAAGGGCCCTAGATAAAGACGCTTTATTGTAGAACATCTTTTATGGAGCATTTTCATTTTTACACAAATCTAAAATTTAATTGGGAAAATTTGATATTTCATCTTTGCCCTAACGTCGCCATATTTTTAAAAAATGTATTTATTTTCAAGGATCAGACACTTAAAAAAAATAATATTGAAAGGACGAGGATTTCGATGTGGTTTGGACGAGAAAATGATGAGAATGTGGTTCGAACTAGAGATTGATGTGGTTGGCCTTCCTCCCCTCGGTGAGGTGGGGGCTGGGGGTGCAGTGTGCACCATGGTCTAAGGTAAGGTAATGCTCAACTATTCGCAATTTATCCCCTTACTGATCTGACCTATACTGCAATATCGGACCAACGACAGCTGTTTATTCATGTATTTTTTGAGGTTTAGGTTAGGTAAAGTCTGGGCCGAGCGCTGCAGCTAGAACAGGCTAGGGAGCCAAGCGCTGGGACCAGGACCTAGGCTATGGGCTGAATCCATGTGTTATTGTTACGTGAGCTGCAAGCATGGTTAGGTTTTACTAGGGGGCAGGGACTAGGACATACTAGGGGACAGGGCGCTGTGGCCACATGACAAATTTTAACCATATATGTTATAAATGAGATCCATGTAAAATCGTTCTCTAGAACAGTTCCATGTCGAATGTTTAAGCGGTTGCATTATATACATGACACAAACAAATAGGTAATTTCCTAGAGAACGATTTTCGGACCACCCCCCCACCCCTATCAATTTTGTACAAGGATCTCATGTAATACATGGATAAAATTTGTCAATTGGCCACAGCGTCCTGCACCCTAGCCTGTCCTAGCCCCTGCTCTCGGCCCAGAAGCTGTCTTAACCGAGCTTAACCCTAAACAATACAAAAAAAAAGTAATGATAATTTGGATCAAAATTAGTGGTCATGTACAAAATTGATTATCAATGGATGGTTGATGAGTAATTTGGTGGACAACAAACTGAACAAAAACATTTTTTTTAATAGCCAGTGATTTAGGTGACCCACCCCCTACCCCCAGATCGGTAAGGATTCTTACTCAACAACACAAAACACATATAAACTCGAAGACAAATTTAAGAGTTTAGCACGATTGAATACAATTTATAGAAAACTTAAGAGAAATGCCGAATTGGTAAAAGTTAACAGCTGGAAACATTTCCGTTTCTTGTAAATTGCGCCTTAGTACATTGAGTACAATAGGCCACGTTTTATTACAGTGACAAATCACGGAACTTTTGTCGTCTTTGATTTATATTCTGAAATTCTTCTTTATTAATTAAGAATTTTGATATATCTTTTGCTTGTCGAGATATACAAACTTTCTTTATTTCATTTCACATCAGAATATAATTTTGGAATATTAAAAAAAATTACTTATCAATGTCAAAATAATTGAATTTTTTTATTAACAATGAAGAAATATTTTTTTACAATAATTATGCAATTTTTCAACTTATATTTGTTGAAAAAAACATATCTTTTACAAAAAATTTTGAATTTTGACTTTTTGAATATTATATTAAAAAAAATTAAATTAAGAAACAAATTTTAAAAAATAATGCTGATGTATATTTACAGTGTGGTAGGCGATAATATCAATATAATGGAGAAGACTTTTTAATTCAAGTTTTATAGTTAACAAGCTTTTTTTCTGAATTTCAAGGTTACATGTGATTAAAGAGAAGTCGTTTAAAAGCTTCTCTTTGTTTCCTTTTATTTGCGTAGTCATGTTGTTATAAAGCTCGATATAAATTAAAATTTAAACCATTGTCTTGGTATTATCGCACCAATGTATTATTTCACAAGTATTCATGTATTATTTCACTATTCATCCATGCAAGGACTTGATGATTGTTGATAACTTGTTTTACCAACAAAACGTCATTTTAATTTTCTTTATATGTCAGTGGTGCAGATCGGCCAGTTCTCTTGAAAATTGTTGAGCGATTTAAAATTCGGTGATGTTGAGGGACCAAACCTCTGTAAAGTAGAAAAGTAGATGTTAGTTCCACATTTATTGAAAATATATTTCGGTCTGGGTTGACCCTCGTCAGTTCATGAGATTGTTCACAATTGTTGAGCGTGTATAACAGCAGTGTTCACTGATGAAGTGAAAGTTAAACTAAACTACCGTCTACCTGGCACCTGCTATTGCTGTGCGGGTGCAGCCGCGCTTGGCAGGGATTCTTAGTAGAGCCGGCCGGGGCAAGTAACTTCTTAACTGTCTCTCTCTCTATCTATCTCTCAATTTCTATCATAAAATTTTTAGTTTTCTGATCAGGATACAATTTTTTATTATTAAAAAAAATTACAAATCAATGTCAAAAGAATTTAATTTTTAATCAACAATGAAGGAATATGTTTTTACAATATTTTTGTAATTTTAAAATATTTCATTTGTTTCAGAAACCAATTTTTTTTTTAAAAACCTGTTATTTTAAAAGTATATTTTTGGTTTTCAAATAAACATTATTTTTTAATATTATATTCAAAAAAAGTGTTTTCAATTTTTTTTTATATTTTATTGGTCGTGTAAATTTACAGTGAACTATATCTTTTAAAAATGAGAAAAATTTTAATTCATCTAATAAAAGGAGCTACATAAGACCGACATTTAGCTCTTTAATAATCACAAGGAGGAGGCTTTCATTAAAGTTTTGATTTTTTTAAATAACCCGGACGAAAAATCTAATTACTTCTTCTATGAACAATTATATTCTTTGTATTTTTGTAAAATGAAATTATTACAAGAAATAAATTACCCTTTGTCCATTTCTGAAAAGATTAAGAAAACGCTGACACAGAGAGTTTCATTGTTTGCCAGTAAAAATGTTTAACAATAAATCTTGAGAAATCTTCAGCACAATTCTTGTTTTTACCAGATATACTCTTAACCAAGGGTTGTTTTCAGTTAGGTAAGTTTTCAAAGAAAATCATTAAAACATTGTTTTTTGGGGGGTTTTGCAGTTTTAATGCCTTTATATTATCATATATTATTCAATTTGTGTTATTATTATGAATTATGCTTAGTTGAGTATATGAAAAATAGAGTTAGTAAAGAAAAATCAAAGACAAAAACTTGTAAAACTCGATCCAGTCTTACAAATTGATGCAAAGTAAATATTTATGTGGGATGGGTAAGATTTTAAAAAGTTTTGTTTTGAAAATTTTCTATTGCTTACAAAATGGTAAACCAATCATTTTGCAATTTTTAAATCAAAAAAACGATTTTTAATATCATTCCGTTTTATCTTTTATAAAAATGTAAAAAAGTTTTACCTAAAACCAAGGTTATAAGGCAAGGGAAGGCTGTAGCGAAATCTCTGCGTACATATTGAAACCAGTTCTCTCTGGGCAGTGTTTGGTAAACAAGACTAGATGCATAAGTGGTACGTACTCTAGTATCCGAGGAGGATTAAAGAATTAAATTTTTTAAATTTTGATAATTCACATAATTAGTTTCCTATGATCAGAATATTTCATTGATTTTTTATGAGAAAGATGGTTCCCATGTCAGGCTTGACATTCATCTTGTGTTTACTTTTCCGCCCAGAGACAGTACACTGCAGTACAAAAAATATTTACACCTCTGAAATAACTATCTTTACATTATAATTCTTTACCTAAAACAATATATGGAAATAACCCGAGCTTTTGTGTTCTGTATTACAAGTTCAAATATTGATCTCAATCTATGCAGATCTACAAATTAATTTAATTTCTCTTCGATATCTCGTTCTGTTCATACAATGCAGGGTTAACTTTACTTGAGGGATCAAGTTAAAAGTGCCCAAATTAGATTTCTAGATAAACAATATCAACAAAAAAAGTTCCGCCCTCAGAATTAGAAATATCAAAGAACAAACAAATGGTTTAAAAATAATTCGCGAAATTTACTGAAAAACCTGTTCTCTCAAAGATTAGTTGACAAAACTTATTTATCATTCTGTGATTGTAAAGATACAAATGGTTTTGATCATGTGTTTAGAAATTATGATATTATGTACGTACCTTCAACATGTTTGTGATTGTTTTTGTGAATATCTCTGTACATAATAGCTAATATGTAATTTAAACATTTTTCTGTAATAAAGGAATGCTTAGAAGTTGAACTTCAGAATTTCTCTTAAATTTTATTATCATTTTACAGTGGCTGAACTCACTTATGAGAAGGGAAGAAAGACATTTCCAACTTTTATTTACAGAAATTATATTGCCTGTACCTGTCCCTGTACCTGTATCTGCACCTGCACCTGCACCTGCACCTGCACCTGCACCTGTACCTGCACCTGTACCTATACCTGTACATGTACCTTTACCAGCACCTGTACCTGTACCTGTACCTGTACCTGTACCTGTACCTGTATCTATACCAGCACCTGTACATGTACCTGTACCTGTACCTGCACATGTACCTGTACCTGTACCTGTACCTGTACCTGTACCTGTACCTGTACCTGTACCTGTACCTGTACCTGTACCTGTACCTGTACCTGTACCTGTACCTGTACCTGTACCTGTACCCTGCACCTGCACCTGCACCTGCACCTGCACCTGCACCTGCACCTGCACCTGCACCTGCACCTGCACCTGCACCTGCACCTGCACCAGCACCTGCACCTGTACCTTTACCCTATCAAAGGGCTGTTAAAACTTTGTTTTATCACATCTGAAAACTTTAGAATGGTGGATATCGAGATCATTACTAGATCCTCTCTTTTAGCTACTCTCCAGACTAATTTTTTTTTAAAATTTGTTTCATAAACCTTCCCTGGGGTCACATGAAGTCCCCCACACAATTTGGGCCCGATCGATTCAACTGCTTTGACGTTTATTGGATACAAAAAGACAAGCAAAATATTTATAAGTAGAGTGGGTATTGTAAATGTGAGTTATAGTAAAAGCACTATTAAATCTGTTTATTGTTAAGTTTGGAATAACAAGCAGTATTTTGAAATAAATGAAATCACGTGGATAATCTGAGCTATATGGGAATCTATAATCCCATATCCACTTTTTTATTCAAACCCTATCACGGGGGGGGGGGTATTTTACACCCCTCCCCCCCCCCGTGGTTTATTTTGAACAACTTAAAAATGGCTTACATTAGAATGTTAAAACTTTTCAGCTTTTTCAACATCACAGTTGTGAACAATTTTTACAAAAAAAAACTTTTTGTTGATGCATAGGGTAGGATGGAGAATGGTCGGGTCGGTGTTTAAAAAAATCAGAAATGGTTATAAACGTTTTTATTAATTTAGCTCCTGAAAAACTTTGAAAAGGCCCTGAAAAATGAATTCAATAACATATGTCATATGTTAATATTTATTAAAAGTAAAAATATTTTCGATATAGTTTTGAACTTTTTAATAATCCTCCCTTTCACTCTAACCATTAAAGTTAGAGGTCTAATTTTTTTAATGAGCAGGCCTTGAAAAAATGGACTAGGGACTTGTATCACACTCCCCTATCTCAACTCTAAGGGCAAAATCATATCAAAATCTATATTAGACAGAAATAGCCCAATCAGGATAGGGTTAAAGATATTTGGATATCAATACTTTCTCTGCTCTCTTATTATTTAAACGCTAAATTCCTTGGCTACTCAAATTATCCAATTACCGAATTATTGAGTAATAACAAAAACCTAATAATCAAGAAGTTCTCTCCATGTGCAATATGAAGGCTGTAATATCCAAAATCATATTTTTACAACACTATTAAACCCTAATGTTATTGAATAATAACAGAATTTCTTCATTAAATAGTTTTCATGGTACACTTGTTTAAACTCTGATTTCATTCAAATCCTTAACTTCAAGAGGTAAACTACTCTTCTTGTTCTCTTCTTCATCTCTACTATTGGATATACTCTATCCCTGCAGTGCTGCCCGGCACAGGTGAGATTTAGCCTAATAGCGATCATTATTTACCAATTTTTACTTTTTAAATATTGATTATTTAACCCTTATTTATAACCATGTAATCTTAGGATTTACAAGAATACCATCACATATTTACAACATTTGAAGACCTTCTATAACCAGTTTAAATAACAAATCTTACAGTTATATTTTCTCAAGGGCAGCTGTAGTACATCAGAATTTCCGAGCCGGGTCAACCATTCCCGTCCAAGTTTGTACTGTACCTAGCTCTATGGACAGGACTAGCCGGTGCAACAAGGTTGACGCGGTCAGACTTTATGCTTCATATAGGTTACTTTTACTAAAGGGGCAGATTTGCGTGGTCTGTCCAAAACGAATTGGTTTGGTTTTACGGAGAGGGTGGTTTGTGACTAAAAATTTGGGCCTGATCAGCACACAACCTTTGGACGTATATTTAATTTTAAAAAGTGTTCATGAAAATCTTAAATATGGATAGGCCATGATGTCACAGGATTAAGTGTTCATCAAAGATATTTCCTCAATACATGTTGTAATTCGAGTAAGATTTAAAGGGAGTGACAGGCAATGTATGGTAGCTGAACTGAGAATGTAGTACTATCAGAGAAATGTTTTAATTAAGTATAATTACTAAGTTTGAGCGCAAAGTCGATGTTAAAAATCATCCATTTGGGTGGTTAAGTTTTGAGAGTCGATTTTTGTAAACAATGAAACATTACAGGAACCAATACATTTTTATTTTCTTAAACTGTTCCTAAAGAACTAATAAGTTAACTGTAGAATTTTTACTACATTTTTCGTCGTCGTTATTGAATATTTTTTTAAAACCGACTCTCAAAATCATCCCTCAAAAAATTAACAATCTGTGAGGATTTTAAAGATTGAAATTGCGCACTTGCTGACAACTATTCACAATAAAACGTCTCAAATGATACCTGAAAAGTTTCTCCCCAATACTACATTCTTAGTTCAACTACCATAAATTGCCAGTAAATCCATTTAAACTCCCTCAGTTTACATTCCTATTTATTATAATATATCAACTGAAATAACCGGCGTTGCCCATGGCATTAAAAAAAAATATTTAATTTTGAGAAGATTTAAAAATCGAAAATGAGCAAAGAGCATTATATTGTTTGAAATTGATGGAAAACTATAATTTTCAGGAAGTAGCTGATGATGATGGTGATGTAAGATGTGGAACCTACTTGTTACATAAAATGTATCGAATACTATATATAGGAAGTAGCTGATGATGATGGTGATGTAAGATGTGGAACCTATTTGTTACATGAAATGTATCGAATACTTTATATAGGAAGTAGCTGATGATGATGGTGATGTAAGATGTGGAACCTACTTGTTGCATGAAATGTATTGAATACTATATATAGGAAGTAGCTGATGATGATGGTGATGTAAGATGTGGAACCTACTTGATACATGAAATGTATTGAATACTATATATAAAAAGTAGCTGGAGATGATGGTGATGTAAGATGTGGTACCTACTTGTTGCATGAAATGTATTGAATACTATATATAGGAAATAACTGGAGATGATGGTGATGTAAGATGTGGAACCTACTTGTTACGTGAAATGTATTGAATACTATATATAGAAAGTAGCTGATGATGATGGTGATGTAAGGTGTGGAACCTACTTGTTACATGAAATGTACTGAATACTATATATAGGAAGTAGCTGGAGATGATGGTGATGTAAGATGTGGAACCTACTTGTTGCATGAAATGTATTAAATACTATATATAGAAGTAGCTGGAGATGATGGTGATGTAAGGTGTGGAACCTAATTGTTACATGAAATGTATTGAATACTATATATAGAAAGTAGCTGGAGATGATGGTGATGTAAGATGTGGAACCTATTTGTTGCATGAAATGTATTAAATACTATATATAGAAGTAGCTGGAGATGATGGTGATGTAAGATGTGGAACCTACTTGTTGCATGAAATGTATTGAATACTATATATATAGGAAGTAGCTGGAGATGATGGTGATGTAAGATGTGGTACCTACTTGTTGCATAAAATATATTGAATACTATATATAGGAAGTAGCTGGAGATTATGGTGATGTAAGATGTGGAACCTTTTTGTTGCATGAAATGTATTGATTACTATATATAGGAAGTAGCTGGAGATGATGGTGATGTAAGATGTGGTACCTCCTTGTTGCATAAAATATATTGAATACTTTATATAAGGAGTAGCTGGAGATGATGGTGATGTAAGATGTGGTACCTACATTGTTGCATGAAATATATTGAATACTATATATAGGAAGTAGCTGGAGATGATGGTGATGTAAGATGTGGAGCCTACTTGTTGCATGGAATGTATTGAACACTTGTTAACGGATAACAGCAAACACACCAGACAAATTGAACAATAGGCCCATTGGAACACTAGTGGGGGAGATATATTTTCCCCAACAAATCTTTCCAGGTTGCGGCCGCAAACACACAACAGAATAACCCCTGTCTCAAAAAAATCGATAAGAAAAAGCTTTCACATCATCCAGACAGAACAAACACTAGGCCGAGAGAATATCAGAAATATATGACGACGACATTTAAACATTGATTTTCTTTATTATTCCTGCGAGGTGGGATAAGCATTACAGTTAAACTATGCGAGGTGGGGAAACCATTTTTATTAAGAGCCAGTTAAAAAAAAAAAAATAATTGATTTAGAGAATATAAATAAATAACAAATATTTTAGAACAAAATTTAGTTATAGTTAATAAATTATAACCATTTAAATTCTTAACTCCCTTACATTTTTGAACTGAAGAGTTCCTATATTCAATAATATGAAAACAAAAAAGGCCAAATATACACATTAAGTAGTTTTTGTTGTACTGAAAATTTTTAATATCACAATTTCATTGCCAATCATCATGGAAACATTACATAAATTATAGATTTTATTGATTCTAATAAATAAAAAACAATAATTTTATCTTACTGTTTGTATCCAATAACTGTCATTACGGTTGAACCGATTGGACCCAACTTTTGTGTGGGACCTCACATGGCCCTAGGGAAGGTTTATGAATGAACAAAATTTAAAAAAATGCCTCCATCAAAATTCGATTTTCATTAAATGTTTTAAAATTTTGAAAAACCACGAAATTTTTTGTTTAAATCCGCAAACTTTTTTTGTTTTGTTTTACAATGTACACAAAGAGAACATGTTCACAATTAAAATAGAAGATGGGCGCGAAGCGTCCTAAAAGCCTATTATCTTTAATAGTGGCAAAGAAAAACAAGAAACGAATTACATGTTAAATGTACATAGTACAACTATACTGATGGTAATAGTAAACAAAACAGAATTTTGTAAACATTTACGTTATAAAATGACACAAATTTGTATTGCAAGGGGTACTAATGTATCTTAATTTACAAATATGTATCCTCTTGGCGTCAATGGACTTATAGAATGTCGTCTTCTAAATATATTCGAGCCTGGTGTTTGTCCAGTCAGGATTATGTGCTTTATTTCCTGAAAATAACATAAATTATAAATTGGTTACTTCTACAAATGTTTTAATAAATGTTTATAATAAAAAATTTTACGATGTATTAGTGGATGATAAAGGGGTTAACTATTGGTGAACAATACTAAAAGACGTTTTTAAACAAGGTTGGAGGCCGTGCTAGGAGGGGGAGGGGGGTTCAGTTGTGACAGTGGTGTGGGAGGTGATGATGTCCTCTGCAGTTTGATAACAGGTGGCGAGGACGGAGTGGTCGTAGGTGAGGAATTCCAGATTGGTTTCCAGTTGGTGAATGAATTGTTTGGACAGTGCCTTAAGAGCATATATTCGGTTCTCCTTGATTGCATTTTTAAAGGCATTAGAGAGGAGAAGGATGGGATGATTGGGTGGGGGTCGGAGGGGTTGGAGTGGTGTCATCGGTTCCCAGTTCCTCATCCAGGTTGTGGACATGGTTGGTGGGCGTGGGGCAGATTGTGCATCCTAACAATCTGCAGGGAGAGTTTCTTGTACATCTTTGAACTTCCTGATAAGGGGTTTCAGGAGGAAGGTCTTTGAGAGAATCCTCGTGGAGAGGAGTAGTTGGATTCATCTTTAGGTTGTCATGTAGATCCGTCAGGGTTAAATCAAAATGTTAACAGATAACAGCATACACACCAGACAAATTGAACAATAGGCCCATCAGAACACTAGTGGGGGAGATATATTTTCCCCAACAAATCTTTCCATGTTGCGGCCGCAAACACACAACAGAATAACCCCCATCTCAAGAAAATCGATAACAAAAAGCTTTATTTCCTGAAAATAACATGAATTATAAATTGGTTACTTATACAAATGTTGTTATAAAAGTTTATAATAAAAAATCTTACGATTTATTAGCAGATGATAAAGGGGTTAACTATTGTTGAACAGTACTATAAGACGTTTCTAAACTTCTGAAATAAATGACAGTTGATTATTAACAAAAGTCACTAATTCTTTATATGAAAATATTCTTTGTTTAACTTTTGAAATGGATTCACAATAAACAAGAGTGTTTAGACTCTGTTCCCGGAGAACAAAGAAAAGGGGGCCAAAATTATTTGGTTTGGTGTCTCTGAGAAGGGATTTAAGTTAAATCGACCTTACACGGAGAGATCTTATAGTTAATGGTTGACAACACTATATATAGGAAATAGCTGGAGATGATGGTGATGTAAGGTGTGGAACATACTTGTTTCATGGAATGTATTGAATACTATATATAAGAAGTAGCTGGAGATGATGGTGATGTAAGATGTGGAACCTACTTGTTGCATTAAATGTATTGAATACTATATATATAGGAAGTAGCTGATGATGATGGTGATGTAAGATTTGGAACCTACTTGTTGCATGAAATGTATTGAATACTATATACAGGAAGTATCTGGAGATGATGGTGATATAAGATGTGGAACCTACTTGTTACATGAAATGTATTGAATACTATATATAAGAAGTAGCTGGAGATGATGGTGATATAAAATGTGGAACCTACTTGTTGCATGAAATGTATTGCATACTATATATAGGAAGTATCTGGAGATGATGGTGATGTAAGATGTGGAACCTACTTGTTGCATGAAATGAATTGAATACTATATATAGGAAGTATCTGGAGTTGATGGTGATGTAAGATGTGGAACCTATTTGTTGCATGAAATGTATTGAATACTATATATAGGAAGTAGCTGATGATGATGGTGATGTAAGATGTGGAACCTACTTGTTACATGAAATGTATTGAATACTATATATAGGAAGTATCTGGAGTTGATGGTGATGTAAGATGTGGAACCTACTTGTTGCATGAAATGTACACTAATTACTACCAACAATGCAACTGCAGTTGAAGCTGGATGCCATGATGGATGTATCTACATCAAGATGAATGATCGCTCAGGTATAGAAATTGTTTGAAAGGAATTGAGTTTTTGTCACACACTCAAAAATTCTAATACCTTTAGCTTTGCAACCAGATGGTGTAAACCTTTGATATAAAAACTTCGAATTTTTAGCCATGTCCTAGAACATTGGGTTACTAAGATATAGGATTTAGTAAATCAGAGTTTACAATATCATTGCAATCCAATGTCGTAGATTTTAGATATATTTCAAACTATGAATTCAGTAATATCAAAATACCTCTTTTGTTCCAAAAAAAAAATGTTTTTCCAATATTGGCACCCAGAGAATAGTTATTGGATGGTTTGAAATTCTAATCTCAAAAATTGTTTAATTTAAATTGAATTTGATTGCACAAATCCCATAAATCATTATTACATTGCTATTAACATCTAAATTGCACTTCACATTTGAATTTAATCAAACATATATTACATTGTTTAGGGGCTTTGTATTGTTTTGGAAATGGAGATCTGACTTCTTTTTGCCGTAAGTTTTTATTTAAATATTTTACCAAATTATTGTGTACTTTATCACTCATGGTCACTTCAAAGTAAATTTTATTATAGAAGTGCTGTAAAGTAATCTTTTTGTAATGATATTAAACTGTATATTTTATCTCGCTGCCAGAAAGGTTATTGGTTCCTGGATTCTCTTTAAAACTCAAGAGTATTTCTAACAAATTTTTTCTTCAATTTAATTAATAATAAAATTGAATTTAACTTGAGCCTTGAACCTTCTTGATAAAGATAAAATTTTCTGTCCAAAAACTTTATAGCACCGCGAACCAAATAGTTATAAATAGTTAATTTGAAAAACCACAGAAAATTACAGTTTAAAACGTTGTTTATGATTTTTTTTATCGTGCCTAAAGTGCTTTGTACCGTGGATGGTGATATTGAGAATTTTTATCTTGAGAATTTAGTTTCCGAAGCTGAAGATCAAAATTTTAATATTTTTAATCCATTGGTCCGACTGTTTAATGTCTAATGTTCGGCCATAAGAAATAAAATTTATGTTTTTTCACAGATTAAGCATGCTAAATTATTGCGAATTAATTTATGTGGACCTTTGGCATTGCCTAAAGTGTCATTAAATAGACAAATAAAATAATATTATTTTCAATTCCTGATGCAAGCCCAAGATCGAGGTTTGGGGTAGATTACTAAAATTTTAGTCATCTGATTTTCACCATTGCAATTTTTAACAATTACATATAAATTTGAAAAAAAGGTTTTTAGCATTTTAAAAATTAATTTTAAAGTGGACGTTTTCAGATATTTAAGAGAAATTTAATTTGATTAAATTTGAATTTTTCATTCATTTTTGGAGCTCAAAAATCTAAATCTAATTGGAGATTATAACAGATATAAGATAAGATAAGATAAGATAAGAAAAGATAAGATAAGATAAGATAAGATAAGATCAGATAAGTAAAGATAAGATAAGATAAGATACGATAAAATAAAATAAGATAAGATAAGATAAGAAAGATAAGATAAGATAAGATAAGATAAGATAAGATCAGATAAGTAAAGATAAGATAAGATAAGATACGATAAAATAAAATAAGATAAGATAAGATAAGATAAGATAAGTTGACTTTCTGGTATTTGGCCACTATATACCTGTAACTACCAATGAGTTGACTATCTGATATTTGGCAACTATATACCTGTAACTACCAATGAGTTGACTATCTGATATTAGACCACTATATGCCAGTAACTACCAATGAGTTAACTATCTGATTTTTGATCACTATATACCTGTAACTACCAATGGGTTGACTATTTGGTATTTGACCACTATATACCTGTAACTACTGATAAGTTGATTATCTGGAATTTGGCCACTCTATACCTGTTACTACAATGAGTTAACTATCTGATATTTGACCACTATAAACTTGTAACTACCAAAGAGTTAACTGTCTGATATTTTACCACTATAAACCTGTAACTACCAATGAGTTGATTATCTGATATTTGGCCACTATATACCTGAAACTATCAATGACTTAACTATCTGATATTTGACCACTATATACCTGTAACTACCAATGAGTTGACTATCTGATATTTGGCCACTATATACCTGTAACTACCAATGAGTTGACTATCTGATATTTGACCACTAAAAAACCTGTAACTACCAATGAGTTGACTATCTGATATTTGACCACTATGTACCTGTAACTACCAATGAGTTGACTATCTGATATTTGGCCACTATATACCTGTTACTACAATGATTAAACAATCTGGTATTTGACCACTATATACCTGTAACTACCAAGGAGTTGACTATCTGATATTTGGCCACTATATACCTGTAACTACCAATGAGTTAACTATCTGATATTTGACTACTATATACCTTTAACTACAAATGAGTTAACTATCTGATATTTGACCACTATAAACCTGTAACTACCAATGAGTTAACTAACGGGGATTGAACCACTACATACCTGTAACTACCAATGAGTTGACTATCTGATATTAGACCACTATATACCTGTAACTACTAATGAGTTAACTAACGGGGATTGAACCACTATATACCTGTAACTACCAATGAGTTAACTAACGGGGATTGAACCACTATATACCTGTAACTACCAATGAGTTGACTATCTGATATTAGACCACTATATACCTGTAACTACTTATGAGTTGACTATCTGGTTTTTGACCACTATATGCCTGTAACTACCAATGAGTTAACAATCTGATATTTGGCCACTATATACCTGTAACTACCAATGAGTTAACTATCTGGTATTTGACCACTATATACCTGTAACTACCAATGAGTTAACAATCTGGTATTTGACCACTATATACCTGTAACTACCAATGAGTTGACTATCTGATATTTGGCCACTATATACCTGTAACTACCAATGAGTTAACTAACTGGGATTGGACCACCATATACTTGTAACTACTAGTGAGTTGACTATCTGGTATTTGACCACTATATGCCTGCAACTACCAATGAGTTAACAATCTGGTATTTGACCACTATAAACCTTTGACTACCAATGAGTTAATTATCTGGTATTTGGCCACTATATACCTGTAACTACCAATGAGTTGATTATCTGGTGTTTGTAAATTATAAGTATATTATGTTCTTGTATGTAGTTTCTGTTGTGGGCATAACATTCATTCAGTATAGGATAACAATAATCTGGGATTTGGAGAAAACAACAAGCTTTTTCTTTTACTTGTTTCATTTGAATAAAAGTACTTGATTTGTGCTTTAATACATTCTTGGTGAAAATTAGATAATCAAAAAAATCATAAATATGGCAAACTCAAAATTTGAATCCCTAAATCTTTGCAACCTTAATGTTTAAACCTTAGATATTTTAAATTTAGATTATCTGATCTAATAAAATTCATAGTTTGAAATTTAAAATTTCTGTGACATTGGTTTTCAAAGGAATGGCATATAAATATCTAAGTATGGATGCTTAAAATACATAGTTAGTATTAAAATTGTTTGTTAAAATTCAAACAATTCTTATTTTTGAGACAGTCTTTAGTAAATTAAATTTGTGATCTTTTGTTAAATTGTAAAACTTTTAATTTGTATTATTATTTTCTGGATAAAAGATCCTTCTCTGAACATTCAAAGTTGTTGCATTTTTTTGAATTTTTTGCACTTTGTCAGATAAAAGTGCAATTTCGTTTTAATGCACTATTTCTTTTCAGAAAAGTTTGTTTAAAATATTTTTGAAACTTATCATTTTCTAATACTGATCTTTCCAAGGTTAGTTTTTCAGGAATTTATACGTCAGGAGTTTGTTCTTACGAAGTTTATATTTCAAGAGTTGTACTTCTGTTGTTTATATTTCAGAATTTTTGTATTTCAGGAGTTTGTATTTCAGGAGTTTGTATTTAAGAAGTTCGTATTTAAGGTAGTGTGTAAATGAAACCCTCTGCATTCCTTTTACTCCTTGGTTTAGAAGATATATCTTATCTTTATTCTATTTATATAATTTGCTAGTGTTGTTTCAGTGTTCAAGGATAAGTATGTACTCTTTATACAAAATTAATCCTATGGGACAAAGCTAGAATATTTATTATCAAATGTGTTCTAGGCTACATAGTCAGCTAAACAAACTTCTAGATTAAATGACATTTCCACAAAATTTTGTTTTTATCATTCCACTGGGGCAAAGCTGGGCATTTTATGTCTAAAACTAAAAGCCCTATATTTTTTCTTTCAACAAACAAATAAAGAAAAATGTTTCCGAAATCAGAACAAACATTTGTGATTTTAAAGGACCTCCCATTGAAAGAGTAGCAGGTTGATTCGCGAAAGTACCCATAAAAGCTTCCTCTGATAAAGTATGAATTAATCATATGTTTATGTTGAGCATGGATCAATTTATTTTGAAGTTTCACTTAAAAAGTGACTTGTGCCTTCATTGCTTATGAATGCAACTTTCTTAGAAGTCGGGATTTCTTCATTTATCTTAAAGTTTGGGAAAGTGGCAAATTATGATATATAATATAAAAAGATGCAGTGTACATGTACTATATGTATATATATAATACAGTTGACTAGGCTGTTTTGAGGACTATTGGTTAATTCTTACCAGCAAGATAGGTCATTAAAAAACGGTGCTATTGAAATGCTTCACCACAGAAATGTTTCACCACGGAAATTTTATCTTAAAAAGCGGAAACCCTTCAAAAGTAGTTTTTTTGAGTTGTCTCCACAATTTCTGTGAGAAATACGGAAATCCCTCAAAACCCAGCTTTTGAAGGGTTTCCTATTTATTTAGATCCGTTTCCTAATATTTTTAACTGACAAATATTTTTGGGGAATTTCCCAATATTTTGAGGGATTTCCCAAAGTTTTTGAGGCATTTCCGCAAAATGTTTGAGGCTTTACCTTATATTTTAAAAATCTAATAGTTGAGGTGTTTCCTCTTTTTTTTGAGAGAGGTTTCCGCAAAATTTTTAAGGGGTTTCCGAATTCTTAAAACTTCTATTTAATTTTTGAGGTGTTTTAGTATTTCTATAAACTTCATTTAGTTGAGGTGTTATGTTTTGCAAATTTTTTTTAGGATATTCCGTATCTTTAAAAACTCTATTTAGTTGAGGTGTTTCCTCTTTGTTTTGATGTGTTTCCGCCAAATTTTTGAGAGGTTTTGAATTTTTAGAATCTTCATATTTCAAGAGATTCAGGTCATCTTTACAGTCTTACACTTTGTGGGTAACCCTGTGGTGCTATGGAAACGCCTCACCACGGAAACGCTTCAACAGAATCAGACCCAAAAAAACGGAAACCTCCTCAACATGAATTTTTTTGAGGCTTTTCCTGTTTTTTCAAAAATTATCGGAAATCCTTCAAATCTAATTTTAAGAGGAATTTCCTGTTTTTTTTATCCATTTCCCCAATTTTTAGGTCAGATTCCGGTCTATACAGGTCTTATATTTTTGAGTGATTTCTCAATATTTTTGAGGGATTTCCCAATATTTTACATCAGTTTCCTCATTTTTTGAGGTCATTTCTGGTTTTCAAAAAAGTTTTTTCTCCTCTTTTTTGGGTCCGATTCCTCATATTTTGGGTCTGTTTCCAGTTTTCAAAAAAGTTTTAAATTCTCAGTTTGTTGATCGGTTTCCTCTGTTTTTGGGTCCGTTTCTGGTTTTCAAAATAAGTTTTAAATTCTCAGTTTGTTGATTGGTTTTCCATTTTTTTGGTTTGGATTCCTCAGTTTTAGGGTCTGTTTCTGGTTTTCAAAAAAGTTTTATATTCTCAGTTTGTTGATCGGTTTCCTCTTGATACTGTTGTACTTCGGATTGTTCTTGAAAAGAGTGAACAGTCCCTTGAATACAACTGGATACCAGGGATCAGTACAACCCGAGCTGTAGCAGTAGACACAAGTCTCCTGCACACTACCACTCTGGGTCCTGTGCTACATACAGCAAGCAGACAGCATACAGAGGGAACCTTTCTGGACGAGCTACAGCAGGAGAAGATGAACCGGGTTCCTGTTATTGTGCGGAACCCCGCCCACATTGAGGAAGTAGAGCTGGATGAAGATGAAGTTGATCCAGCTGATATCACTCCTCTTATCAGTGGAGACACTCCCATTATCACTGTCCCAGCCTCGGAGGACGAGAACGTAGCTGAGGATGTAGTAGAGGATGGTGATGAGGATGAGGATTTGCAGTTTATCCTAGAGAAGATGGAGAAGCTTGATACAGAGTTCAAGGAACTCCGAAAGGAGATTATGGATCTCCTGTCCTCTATTCCTGAGGACACTAGCTCCCTCCAGCCTGCTGTTGTCCCCCAAGTTGAGGTTTGGGACACAGGGAAGGCTTGGGAGCAAGAATACAGGCTGTATCCTGACCCTACTAGGAAAGAGGTCAGTGACAGGCTGTCTAACCAGGTTTGGGATTTAAAAGAACAGTTTGTTTTTATTTACTATTTTCAAATTTTGTTTATCAAATAATCTTGTTTTGTTTCATAAGTGTGTAAATACTTGAGAATTGACATGATATGAATTCTGGTAATTGTTTCAAAACCAGGATATGTTCCAAAAACACTGCATGAGCTGAAATCCAGTAATTGTCTCAAATCCAGGATATGTTCTGAAAACGCAACGTGAGCTGAAATTCGGTAATTGTTTCAAAATAGGGATATGTTCGAAAATGAAATCAAGAATCATCAAATATTAATTCTCGCACCTTAATATTAGTTTTAAATTGACATTTATTGTTTCAATTTATAGTTTTAGCCATTTTTAAAAAAAATATGGTGTAATTTTGTTCTACTCATTTTGGATTTAAAGATATATTCTCTTGAAAAAGATAAATTTGTAGATTTGGCCCATAGTTTTGGAACTAATATCCCATGAAATACACTGTAAATATTAAAACGTAATAAAAAAACAAGAATTTTTGGAAAAGAATATCACAGCAGTTTTTCTTAATAAATTATCCATAAATTTTGAATATTTTGAAAACGGCGAAAATAAAAAAACAAAAACATTTTTTGATTATTTTTATAAGAAAAACTGAATGTAGAACAATATTTTTAAAACTATTAATAATGCGAGTCATTATTATTAAGAAAAAGTGGATACAAATATAACAATTTCAGGATACATATTCGCACCACCTCTATTTTAGAGTAGACACCACCTAGTGGCCAAATGCGGCAGCTCTCGAATCATAATTTCTGGATTAAAAAATCATATTTTTTGAATAATTTGAAAAAACTTCCACATGAATTATACACATATTAAGTTAATTAAATTAAAACACAAACAGAAAAAAACAAATTGGTAATTAAATAAGATTTATTGTATAAATATGTAAACAGTACAAAATGGCATTTGGCATTCTCCTGTCCCCTCCCCCCCTCCCTCCCTACAGCCACCCCCCCTTGTTCACATGCAGTTTGTGCGCATTTACCGTAGAAAAGATTATTTATACTTATTGTACTGAGGAAAAAAATTATAACATACAGTAAATATAAAAATTCATTGAAATACTCCATAATTAATAACATGAAATACCATGCATTTGATATTAAATTTATAATATAACTATTATTAAATTGTGATTTGAAAATCAAATAAATAATATAAAATGAGATGCAGTGGTAGGCGATAATATCAAGATAATGGAGACGACTTTTTAATTCGAGTNTTCTAACAATCAGCTGTTTAAACTTTTACTTTCTAATTGCGTCAAACAGGTTTACCGGGCTAATTACTTTCTACATTTACAATATTCAGAAATAATTGTCGGACCGCTAATAATCGAGACTCTTTTCCAGCCATCCAGCACATAAGTTCGCCACCTTGTACGTTCCATTCATGTAATGAAAAATATATTAATTACCAATGGATTATTTTCTTGTTAATGTATAATTTGTTTTAAAGACTGTATTATGAGGTCTACGTTGTAAACCGCAATCCTGCGAATTGTATATCTCCTGCCACTTTAATATGTTAACATGTTATTGTGCAATAAATATTACTTACTTACTTACTTACTTACTTAGCATGGCCGGGGGGCGGGGGCCGGTATACGCCCTAACTCCTATCCTAAAATTTTGATTTATTTCATTTCACATCATAATAGAATTTTTTTTATTAAAAAAAATTACAAATCAATGTCAAAATAAGTTAATTTTTAATCAACAATGAATGAATATGTTTTTACAAATTTTTGTAATTTTTCAAATTTCATTTGTTGAAAAAACATATCTTTTACAAAAAACTTAATAAAAGGAAAAAATATTTTTAGTTTTCAAATAAACATAATTTTTGAATATTATATTAAAAAAAATTAAATTAAGAAACAAATTTTAAAAGATATTGCTGATTTATATTTACAGTGTAGGAAGATGACTTTTAACCACAAAAGCTAGGACTTAAACTAGCTCATGAACATTAGACATAGCAATTCTACAGTGTAAATGGACCCATTTCACTTAAATAGTGTTTTGCTAAGTTATCACTGTGTGAAATGTTTAACTTATTTAATATTATTATTTTCCATGTGGTTTTTGCAGTATTTTAGGGAAAAGGTTTAATGCTGTGCGGCATTATTTTCAACTGCGCACTAGCACAATAATTTGAGTCATCAGAGTTATATAGTTTTGAGTTTGTATTTTTAGTTTTTCGGGAATAAAACATTCCATGCTGGCATAAACGTCCATGAATATTTTAATGTGTTAACTTTTATGCATGTTGAAAACATCTATTATAGTCAGGGTTGTATAATGTATGTAGATTTAATTCTAAATATGCTTGAATTCGTTAGACGCCCCTAACCTCGCCCCAAAGTATAGTGGATATTAGGTTAGGTTACTCCATTCCCATCCGGATAGTATTTCCGTTGGACTAAACTTCACACCTATTGCAACATTGGACCTGGTAAATTCCTGGTCCTAAAATCGCTCTTCAGAAAAGACCCTCAAAGACCTATGACAGCAGTTGTTTTAACTGAGTACAGAAAAATACTCTACTTCCTCTTCTTCTGACGACGATGAAAATCGTCCGATTGTGAAATTCCTGCATCAAGTATTCACATGCGTAAGCTGCAGAACCTTACATAGTCACTTTATTAAGTAATAGTTTAGTATAATGTTATTTCAGAGCTTTTCTATTCCAGACCCCATATTAATTTTGTACATGTCATTCTTGTTGTGAAGTACGGTTCTATCTTCAGATTGTAGTAACATTTTTGTAATAACAATTAAATATTTCTTATAATATCGAGGTTGTATACAAATTTCTACATGTCATGGGCACATCAGCTAGGGAGGTGAGATCATATTTTTTGATTTTTTTTGTTGATTTTGGAATAAATAAAGAGCTTTTCTGTTTTTTGAAATTTAATTTTTTTTTCTATAATCTAGGAGGAAAAAAGTTTCCTTGCATTTTTATCAATCTGACAGTAATGTAATGCTTTTACAGAAAAACATGTCCTTCCATTATCCTCAATACTGCCATTGTTCAAATTATGCCACCATTGTGATGCTACTCGAACTACTAAGCCAAATGTTTTATCTTTTGGGATGTATCTAAGGATAAGCTTTTTAAATGTGTAATGTTGGGTCAGATTCAGATTCTGATAAAAAAATAAAAATTAATAACTATATGTTAGTTTGAAATAAAAAAAAAAAAACATTTGTTTAAGCGCAAAGTGGATTAAGCTGCAAGCTGAGGGAGTGCAAAGTTCAAGAACATAATCCTGTAGTCTGGAAGTAGGGTGCCTTTTTGCTTTAATCTTGATCTGCTTAAAGCTTGGGTTTTGCCAGGTCATCTATATGTGATCCATTAAATTGAATGTTAAATTGAATATTATATGTTATAGTCGGAGGATGTAGTAGCCTCATACACTTGTTTAACTAATTCCTTGTCAGAATTAATTGTCAAATTGAGCCAACAGCCATTGTTGTTCTCAATCTTGATCTCAAATCAATTAATGCCAAATTCACAGTAGCTTAATGCAGAGATTTTTATTACCTTCAGTTTAATATAAACGCTTTCAAAGTACCTTAATATATGTAAATTGCACTGTGATATAAGTACGGGAGAAGACCTAATGTTTAAACAAAGAAGCACTCTGCCATTGTCAACACTTCAAGAAGAAACATAAATTGTTAGTTATTATAAAGGCACCCTGCTTATTCTTCTTCTTAATTACTGAACTATATTAATTGTTGAATTGCTTTCAGAAAAAAAAGAAAAAAAAAACATTTTTTAAGTAAATTCAATGATGAGACATTTATGACAATCTAAAAGTCTTTGAATAGCATGATCTGAAGTACTAGTCTGATCCTCGGCCTTGAATATTTGAGCTGCAAAGTGGTGGAGATGGGGGGGGGATCATTGTAAGCAAAACCAATATTAAGTTTTTTTCTGATTTATTTTGATGACACTTTTCTTCTTTTATTTTTATTTGCTTTTACTTCCCTGTTTTGTCTAATTATAATTTCTTTCCCAAAAAAGCATTCAATCCCTTACATGCCAACACAATCCAAACTTGTGAAATATTCTATTTAATATTAACTTGGTTGAGAGGGACACATTGTTCGTTATGCCAAAAGAAGTGTCATGTCCATTAGGTAATTCTTTAATTTTTATTTTTAACTCAAAAACGTTTAGTAAGATAAAGATTGTGTTTTCATAATGTTTAAAGTAAGTGAAACCATAAGTAAAATTGAAGATATAGAAAAACTTGTTGATATTTGAAATGATTGTTTTGTTTGATAAGTGATGACACATGGTTTATAAGATTTTGGCTAAAACATATTATAAGATTTTGGCTAAAGTATATACCCAGCAAGAAAAAATACAAAGAACGGAGGAGAAAAGGTGCACCGTTAATCATGTCGCGGAGATCGAAAACTGGAACTCCGATTCTCAAAGAACGGAGGTTCAGCGGTATCCTATACTGATGCGATTGAGGTGCACTGAACGGTGCCCGAACGGAGTGATTTCCGAGGCACCGTTTTTACTCCGTTTTTAGAGCTCCGTTGCTACTCCTCTCTTAGAGCTCCGTTGCTCCTCCTCTTTTGGAGCTAGCACAGCTAGCACCTAATGGGGCCTAAGAACCTCCTG